ATGAATATAATATACAAGTTTCACTTTTTAAATGGAATTACTGAAATAAATCTACTTTTTCATGAGATTCTAATTTTATGACCAGCACCTGTAGAACTGAAAGAAGGAGGACTTTTTTTTTCTTATGTCCCTAAATATATTATGCACAAAATAAAATCAAACTATGTGCATAAAAAGCAGTTTGTTTATTGTGTGAAGGCAGTCACAGACCAACAACTCACTGTTATTCTGAGGCTGCCAGGTGTTTGAGTGATTACCTGTATGTGGAGTATGACTTTATGGACAGCATGAGCCTGCAGCAGAGTCACAGTGCATCCTCCAAACCCACCTCCTGTCATCCGACTGCCATACACCCCCTCAACGTCCATGGCTGCAGAAACCAGCTCATCGAGCTCACTGCAGCTCACCTCATACAGATCTCTAACATACGATCATTGTGTTACCACACACCTGCCATGTTCAGTCAATAGATTCAACACAAGAGATCGGACTGTTGTATCTATACCTCAGAGAGGTGTGGCTCTCCACCATGAGTTTACCAAACTCTTTGTAGGAGCCTCTCTTCAGGGCTTCAGCAGCTTGGACCGTTCTTTCAATCTCCTCGATTACATGACGAGCTCTTCTGTATGTGACGTCATCCAGCCTGGCTTTGGCCTCTGAAATGTTAGGAAAGTAGTGATAACCTACACTGGAACAAACTTTGCTGCCTTTCACTTCCTCTGGATAGCCTGCACTTCTAATTTAAAGAACCTTGGTGTTGTTATGGATCAGGTTATATCAGGACAGCTTTTTTCCACATGAACAACATTAACAATAAAACTAGAAACATCGGAAAAATCTGAATTCATTTGATTCTTGAGTCTTCAGTTGATCCAAAATGCTGTCCAGAGTTCTAAAGAGGGTTGTGTAATTTTGCTTTGCTTCAAACGCTCCTTAAAATAAGACAATATTATTATATATACAGTCCTCAAAAAATTAGCATATTGTGATAAAGTTCATCATTTTCTGTAATGTACTGATAAACATTAAACTTTCATATATTTTAGATTCATTGCACAC